GAAGCCAGGGCCCAGCCCCCACCCAGGGTCCCTTGGAAGCACCTACCCCAGGCACCCTGGGGCACTTGCACTCAGGGGCAGGGAGACAAGAGGAGAAGCCCCCACCACCCCATGTAAAATTGATCTCTGTACCTTCAGCAATAAGCTGCTGACCTGGAACAGGTCATTTAACTGCTCTGTGCCTCAGTTTCCCCATCCGGAGAAACGGGGATAAAAAACCCTCCTCCTGTAGAGAGAAGCACTGTAGAAATGCAAGGCTTGCTGGTCTCCTTTGTCAGCAGAATGACTTGGCCAGGCTGAAGTGACCCCTGGCTTGCCTAAGAGCCCTGCCTCCTGTTGTAAAGCAGGGGTCCCCTTTACAGAGGCTGGGGAAACTGAGGTGACCTGCCCCATAGCACAGCAAGGGCCCCTCGGGCCTTCCCCCCACCCCTGCCCCCTGGTGCGGCTAGGTGCACCCACTCCCCTCCCACCTGTCTGAAGCAGAAGGAGGCCCTGCAGGGCTCAGGGTTCAGTGCCAGCACGGGCCTCTCACCCTGGCCACTCCAGACCCTGGGGCAAGATGGGGGCCCTCGGCCAGGGCAGCCCATCTGTCTGTTCTGGTCTGGTGGCCCCAGAGACACCTCCGGCTGGGGACTAAGCCAGAGGAGGGACAGATTCTGCTGCCAAAGCCCAAAAGGCCCCACATCAAGTAAGATGAAGGAGCTGACAAAGCCAGGCTGTCATTGCCGAGCGTCCTGGAATTAAGAATGACACTGTCCTGATGCGGCCCTGGGGACCGCCGTCACCACCCCGCTCCCATTGATCTTGTCCACCTCTGGTGCCCCAGGGACCTCTACCACACAGGGCAAAGGATGAGCTCAGGGGTGGGTACGGCTACTGTCCTGGGACCCTGGGAGACCTCCAGGGTGGGAGCTGTCTCAGCCTCAAGGCTGGTGCCGTATGACCTTGAGCCCGACCCATGCCTCCCTGAGTTCTGCTTTCTCCTTGGGGGAGGTAGACGCTAGAGAGGTTTTCTCCAAAGCAGGAGATTGGCAGGCATGGGGATGGGGAGAGAATGGGTTATGGGAGTCGCCCTGGGTTAGGAGGGCACTCAGGTTGATCCCTTCATGGGGTGAGGCTTACAAGTGGGGAACCAAGTGGGGGGCCTGGAGAGTTAAAGGCCCTCCCCCTTCTCAGGCAGGGAGACTCAGCCCCCTCTCTCCTCCAGCTTCCCCCTCCTGCAGCCCCAAAACACCTCTAAACCGGGTGGCTTGTCCATGGCTCCCTTCCCCCACCCTGTCATCCCTGGTGTCACAGAAGCCTAATTCTTTTCAAATTGCCTCACAAAAAGTCCAAAGGAAGGAAGAGAAGGTTTGGGGAGGACCCCGTTCCCCAAATCCAGGGTTTCAGATTCTTCCCAAAGCTCAGCCAAAGAAAGGTTCAGCCTCTTCAGCCCTTCCCAGCCTCCCACAGAATTCCTAGTCCCCAAAGAATTCCATGATCATGGACCTCCTGGGCACCCCCTGCTCCCCCAAAAGCCCATGACCGTGTTACCCCACATGTCTGGAAAGCAGTGACACGAAGATGTACGAGCAGCATGGCCTGCTGGCTGCTAGTGTGGGTTCCAGAGAGACCCAGGACCACTTTGGGCTAAGAGACCCTGGGAGCCTGGTTGAGCCTCGTGTGTGTGTGAAATGCACATAACTGTAGATGGCCTCACAGGGCTGTGCCCACGGTACTTGTAACTTGCTCAGGGCCTGGCATGTATGAGACACAGCTTCCCATAGACTGGTGTGTGCCAAGTGTTGCTTCTAGAAATAGAAGGCTGGGGCTTAAGTGGGGAAAGGGACTGGCCTAGGGTAAAACTGAGTGAGCGAAGAAGAAGCCGAGGAGCTCAAGACTTCCCCAGCCAGCCCATCTTGTGAACTTCCTGCCTCCCATCCCCCATCAGACCCCCTACTGGAGCGGGAGGAAGGGAGGGAGGGAGGGAGGGAGGGAGGGAGGGAGGGACACAGGTGTGAGCTCAGACATCCCCAGGCAGGCAGTGCGGGGCACAGAGATGCCCTCCCCCCGGCTGGGCTCAGTGGAGGATGGGCTCCCTCCTGGGCAGGTGGTGGCCGTGGACCCGGACCTGGGGGAGAACGGCACCCTGGTGTACAGTATCCAGCCACCCAACAAGTTCTACAGCCTCAACAGCCGCACAGGCAAGATCCGCACCACCCACGTCATGCTGGATCGGGAGAACCCCGACCCCCACGAGGCGGAGCTGATGCGCAAGATTATCATCTCCGTCACTGACTGTATGTGCCCCTCGCAGCCCCACACACCTTGGCGGTGGCCCCTGACTCTCAGGGTCCTGGGGGCCTCTCCCACTGACTTGTCCTCCCTGGGTCCTGAGGCCTGGGTACAGGAGGGCTGTGCCATGATCGCTAAGAATGGGGTAACACCCACTTGCCAGCTGCGAGCCCCACAGAGTACCCTCAGAGGAGGGCGGTGGCTGGGGGTGCAAGGCCCGGGCTGCTCCCTGGAGGGACCCCTGGGATGGAAATGTCACTGAGCCTGCCTCCCTCTCCCCACGCCCCTTTCTCCCCGTCCCTGTCTCTTTTGCACCCCTCATTCCCTCTCCCTGGCACCCCCAGGTGGCAGCCCCCCTCTGAGAGCCACCAGCAGTGCCACGGTGTTTGTGAACCTCTTGGACCTCAATGACAACGACCCCACTTTTCAGAACCTGCCTTTCGTGGCTGAGGTGCTGGAAGGCACTCCGGCCGGGGTCTCTGTCTACCAGGTGAGTTTCCCTTTCCTGGCCTGAGCTCCTGGTCTGTCTCCCTCACCTCATCCCACCCAGCAAGCAGGCGGGCAGAGGCGGCCCTGGGCGCCTAGCCTCATGCTGAACACTTTGCAGTGGTGGGGCAGGGGATGCCAGCCGAGACCACCAGACAGGTCACACCAGGCTTGGAGAGCTGGTGCTCTGAGAGATGTAACGGAAGGCTTCCTGGAGGAGGAGGAGGGGCTTGAGCTGGGTCTTAAATGACAGGTAGATTTGGAGAGGTGGAGGGAAAGCACCAAGGAAGATGACAGAATTCTGGGAAGCCAAGTCAAACAGGTCCTGGTTATGGAGGTCTGGCCCAAGACTCTCAACACCGCAAGCCTGTAGCTGGTTTTAGAACACAGAGAAGGTTGATGGGTGTCGCCCAGGCACCCTGCCTCTGTGGGCAGACCACTCTCCCATCAGCCCCAAAGCAGCTCCACACAGTGGGGGGCGGGGGGGCGGTGGTACTCTCCCCACTTGGCAGGAGACTTAAAGAGACTTGTGGCCAAGAAGACGTAGGGTCTGAACTTGAACCCAGCCCCTGTGCCTCCTACTCCATCACCCTCTGTCAAGGAGGCCCTGAAGGGGCTCATTCAGGAAGGATGATGCCCTTTTAGGAACGCTGGAAGGAAGAGCATGGGCTTTGGAGTGTACCCAACATGAGTGTGGGCCCCGACTCCTCCACTTGTGTGCCGTGTGACCTGCAGCAACGACCTCACTGGGCCTCAGTTTTCTCACCTGTGAGATGGGGCGCACACTAGTACCGGCCTGGCTGTGCTGCAGGGACTCAGTCAGACATGCGTGTCCAGCAAGCGGGCACTTGGACTGTGGGAGATCCACGGTGGCCGTGTGCTCGTCGTCAGGTGTCTGTTGTGAGGGCTTATACCTGACACACAGCGGGATCCAGTGGCAGAGGGCTGGCCTGCTCCCACCCGAAGAAGACAGGTTGCTTGTCAGGATGCCACAGTGGGTAACCTTGGTGATGCCCTGCAGGCCTGCTGTGCCTCAGTTTCTTCATCTGTGAGAGGAGATGAGTAGTGGTCTTTGAAGGTCCTAGGGAGCCATCTCGCTAGCAGGGCATTCTCCCAAATGCCCAGCAGGGGGAGCTGCGATCCAGGGAACGGCAGCCAGTCCCTGAGGAGCGGGCCCCCAAATAGGACCGGGCAGGTGGGTGAGAGAACCAGTGCGTGCCCCCCCAAAAGCCCATTCTCCAGGGGCTCAGAGACAGTGCAGACAGCACAGCGTCTGAGCTCACAGAGGATCTGGCTCAGGCGTGGAAAGATGGTTGAAGGAGCTGGAGCATTTAGCTTGGGAACTGTCCTCAGAAACAGGAAGAGAGTTCTGACAGGAGCGGTGCGTTCCCCGGTGCCCCCTACAACCTGGACAAATAGTGATTTCCATTGGACGGGTGGGAGAACTTTCTCCAGGAATTAGAGCTGTATGCAGATAAATGAGAAGTAGTGAGCCCCCCATCCTGGAAAGCATTCAACTTGAGTGGATACCCTCTTGTCCTGCTTGTTGATGGGAGTTAGACTGGATGACCTTGACGTCTTTCACTTTTGAGAGTCTTGGCTTAATCCAAAGCTTTTATTTGAACTGTTATTCACATTTCCTCAAAGGTCTCGAATCTTCTTCTGTGAAACTTTAAATATATCAGGGTCTTGAGTCAGGAGAACCCTCCTCGGGACTAGAGGTGCAGACGGGAATAGTGTAGGGGTTTGGAGGATGTTTGCCTGCCTACACGTGGCCTCAAAAGATGGTTTCAAAATAATAAATCATCAGGTGACTTAAACACTGCACCTTTCTACCATCTTGTTGTTGTCTGACAAAGCAGGGGAGAGCGCTGTTGATCGTTTTATGTAGTGGAGCTGCACATGGTCCAAGGGCCCTTGGAGCAGTCACCGCTGCTTCGGGCCAGCAGCCAGGAAGCCTGCTAGAACACGCAGTTCAGAGTCCCGAGCCAGCCAGGATCCATGGCGGGGGCGGGGGGTGGGGGGGCCTTGCCAAGGAGGAGAACGGGGTTTTGAAGGGGAAGACTATGGGGAGCTAGACCCTTGTTCTCTTGTTCTCGAAAGTGCCTTCCCCCCCCCGCCCCTGCCCGGCCCTCCCGGCCCCACCTGATGTATCCGGATGCCTTTAGCTCTGACGCGCTGCCCTCTTAGCATCTGGGAAGGTGCTGGGAACAGTGGCATGGCTGGAGGCACTGAGGGAAGCAGGCATGTCTGGCTGGAGCTGAGCGCCGGTCAGTGGGAAGGAGGGGGCCCTTCTCGGGGGCGAAGTCCTCCCGTCCCCACCCATCACGTGGTCCCTGCTTTCCGTCAGGTGATGGCCATCGACCTGGACGAGGGCCTGAACGGGCTGGTGTCCTACCGCATGCAGGTGGGCATGCCCCGCATGGACTTCCTCATCAACAGCAGCAGGGGTGTGGTGGTCGCCAGCGCGGAGCTGGACCGCGAGCGCATCGCCGAGTACCAGCTGCGCGTCGTGGCCAGCGACGCGGGCACGCCCCCCAAGAGCTCCACCGGCACGCTCACCATCCGAGGTGAGGGCCGGGGGGTGTCCTGCCGCGCGGTGAGCGCACGGGCCCTGGAGCAGTGCCGGGCAGGCTGGGGAGCCCACAACTGTCACCGCTATCCCTGTCTATGTGGACACAGGGTGCCTTGCTAATGGAGTACCCTCCTCCACCACGCCATTCAGCACAGAGCCCTCTTTGCCTCCACCAAGTCCAAAATGCTGGCAGAGCCTTCTCCCCACTGATCCGCTGCCTTCAGTAGCTGCCCCCCCCACACCCTGCCCCGGGCCTGGATCCACCACCAAGGTCCCTGACCCCTTCTAGCGTCTTTGATCCTGCGAACAGCAGAGGTGACTTGCACAGGGGTGGGTGGGCCTTCAGGGTCAGCCGCAGGCAGGAGAAGGGCAGGGCCAAGGCCCCTTACGATTTTTCCTCCATTCTGGTCACGTCCTTAATCCTTGGGACAAAACAGGGACATTGACACAAGCTGGTGCCAAAGGGGCAGAACTAACCACAGGGAAGTCAGGTCCGTACAGAATGTGACTGGCGAGGTGTGTCCTGTTGTCCGGCTCCTGCCGGCCCCACGGGCTTGGTGCAGGTGGGGGCTAGCTCAGCACAAACATCTGCCCGAGACGTGCCTAGGTGTCCTCTCATCCGTTGGTCCTACGCTTGCCTTGTGGGTTCCTGGTGCCCATTTGGGCACCCGCCTGTGTGCCAGTGACTGACAGGGAGGTGCTCAGTGCTCCCAGAGAGGATTTTTCTCCCGGCCTCAGCAGAAGCCAGGTCCGCAAGCCAGCCCATCATTTCTCCTGGTGGTATCACAACGAGGAGCCCAAGAGGGAAGGTGGGGTCATTTCACTGTGAAGATTGTCCCAAGCCCCATCAGCTGAGAAAACACATCTTTAAGGGAACTTAGACTTTTCTTGGAGGGGTGGATCCTCAAAGCCAGCTGTTTTCCTAGGACTCCATGACGGACTAGGGGCGGGCCCCCCCGAGACCCCAACCCTGCCACTTGCTATGTGACTTGGGACAAGTGACTCAACTGCTCTGAGCTCCTGTCCCTCCTCTGTCTGGTGTGTCTGAGAATGCCTGCCTTGCCAGGGTGCTAGGAGGGGCACACAGGGTGCTGTATGGGAAGCACTTAGCAACAGGCTCACTGTCACGGTCATTGCCATCATCATCCCCGCTGTCGTTGTGAGGCACCTACTGGAGGGAGGCCCCAGGGTTCTCTCTCCTGGCGTGGCCAGCAGCACCAGCACCAGAGCACCCAGGGAACAGGACCATGGGAGGCCGAGGAGCTCTGATCAGCTCTGCCCTGACCCTAGCAGGCATGGGGACCCTCGGCTCACCACCGAGACGTGTCGGCTCCCACCACCTCTGGCGCTGGGCTCTCTGGAGCGGAAGCCAGGCCTAGCCCTGTGCACTGACTCTTCCCGCAGTGCTGGACGTGAACGACGAGACGCCCACCTTCTTCCCTGCCGTGTACAATGTCTCTGTGTCCGAGGACGTGCCGCGGGACTTCCGGGTGGTCTGGCTGAACTGCACGGACAATGACATGGGCCTCAATGCCGAGCTCAGCTACTTCATCACAGGTGTGGCCCTGCCTCCACTCCTTCCAGATGTGTGCCCCCAGCCTCCCCCCCTCCCCGAGAGGGTGGGGAAGGGGCCCGAGTCAGCCCTCCACATCAGGCTTTAGCTCCCGGGGGACCCTCCCGGAGGGTTTGCTCTTAGCTTTTCCCGGGGGCTTTGTAGCTCGGTCCCTCTGGCCTGGCTCGCTGGGGGCCTCCCAAACCTATTCGGAGATTGGGGGGAACTTACCGAGGTTGAGTCTGGAGGGAGGTAGAGCCCGTGACTCCCGGGGAGGAGCCCTGCCCCGCCCCACTCCACCCCCACGTCAAGGTGATAAAGCCGTGACTGGAAGACTGTGGTCTTATCCTTCCCCGGGGACCCTTCACTCATGAGAATTCCCATCTGTTCAGAGACAAATGGTTTCAATCTTTTTATTTTTTTTTATTTTTTTTTAAAGATTTTATTTATTTATTTGAGAGAGAGAGAGTGAGAGAGAGCCCAAGAGGGGGTAGGGTCAGAGGGAGAAGCAGACTCCCCGCTCAGCAGGGAGCCCAATGTGGGACTCGATCCCGGGACTCCGGGATCATGACCTGAGCCGAAGGCAGTCGCTTAACCAACTGAGCCACCCAGGCGCCCTGGTTTCAATCTTTTTAAATAAAATGGTTTTAGCTCACAAATACCAAGTAGAGACCTGTGGAGAAATCGTATGAGGCCATGTCCTGGCTCAACAGGAGAAAGGGAGTCATGAGCAATTACTGATGTCTGCCATGACAGTAAGCTCAGTAGGTGGCGGTAAACAGGCCCCTTATTAGTCATGCCTGGATTAGAACAGTCACCCAGCGTGCTTCGGTCCCTGACACACCTGAGAGGTGCCGGGATGCTGGGGGGCAGTTCTTTCACATTCCTTAGCTGTCCCTCGGCCATATTACTGGCTCAGTCTTCTCTCCATCCATGGCCTGCCTGCAGCCACGTTATTCACCCACTCGTATGCACGTATGTGTACGCACATGCCTTCAGTGCACGCACCAGTCTCCCTGACGCCTCTGCCCCGGGAGTGAGGAATCCCAGCTTCACAGCCCATCCTTGCTTGCGGTGGCTCTCAACCTCTTCTTTCCAGATCGTTCCCTCCCTCCCCTCCCTAAAGTGGCCCAGCACCCTCAGGCCACCTCCTCACAGTCTAGTCCTCGACACTGCTCCAAGAAAGGCTTCGTTATCAAGACTCCCCCCACGTGGACCAGTCATGGTTCAGCCCCCAGCACTGCTTGCACCTCAGTTTCTCCCCCATCCCCTAGGAGCCAGATTATTGTCCCATGTGAATGGTACTTCCGACCATCCACAAAGGGGTCAAGGCTTTTCTCCAGGGGCAAACCATGTAAGGACAAGGGAGCACCTGGTAGCTCCCAGGATGAAATCCCCAGCGCCCCGAAGTGGCCAGGTTCTGCTGACCCACTGAGAGCCCTCCCAGCTGGGAATCTCAGATTTTAATTTGCTCCTTCTGCAAGGAGCAGGGCAGGGTCCTGGTCCAAGCTAGCCCAAACCCCGTGCCGCAGCGCCCTCTGCTGTCCAGAACACCACATTGCCTGCCAGCTGGCTGGGGAGGGGTCTTCACACTGTTCAGATGGAGTCCCTTCCTGTCCACCTTGGAGAGGAGACCCTCCCACTTCCCACCCCGGCCACCTGCCCCTACTCGTCACTCCGGGGAGCCTCCAGGAGTCCCCACTCAGAGAGTCCAGGATGATGGACCTGGAAAATCTTAGCTGACCCCAAAATCCCTGGCCACCTGTAAAAGCCTCAACCCAGGTTAACTGCTCAGACACTCCCACCAGATGGGCAGGTGGCAGAACGGTGAAGGACGCAGGCTCAGAAATCAGAATGACAAGTTGGAGTCTTACACCCACACTAGGTGACTGTAGCCCAGGGCAACACACGTAACCTCACTAAAGGACGCATTTTCCTCTCTGTAAAGTGGGCTCGTGATAGTACAAACCCGATGAAAGAGTCCACATGAAGTGCCTGGTATGCAGTAGGTGCTCAATGAATGTTCAACCCTTATGATTTCAGGCGTTTGGCACCCCCACCTGAGCCCGCACAGGCCACACCCTCATCCGAGCTTCCCCCCGCCCCCCAGAACCCTGTCCCTGGGCAGGGCTGAATACGCAGCATGGCCTTTTCCTCCCCAACTACCCCTGGAATGTCCTGGCCCAGGAGCAGAGCCAGGGTGCCACCGCCCTTTCCCTGGCAGGAGCCCTGCTTCCTCACAGAGGCCTCATTGTCTTTGGCCCACAGGTGGAAACGTGGATGGGAAGTTCAGTGTTGGCTACCGTGACGCTGTTGTGAGAACAGTAGTAAGCCTGGACCGGGAGACCACAGCCGCATACACACTCGTCCTGGAGGCCATCGGTACTCCCCAGCCCTACCTGCACACCACCAGCACAGCTCTGGGCAGTCTGGTGGGGTGACGCCCAGAGCCAGGCCGTGAGCCAGAGGCTGTGTCTTGACGTCAGTGGAGAAAGGGCAGCCGGACATCCAGTGTATCACTGAGCCCTGGTGGGCAGGAGGCTTAGCCTGCAGTGCTACATGCAAGCCGCTCAGATGGTGGGGTGTAGGCAGATCGCTGCAACACCAGGTCCACGAGGCAGAAAGGGGGGAGGGGGGAGCCCAGAGTATCAGGCACAAAGCCAGGTGGAAACATGTTAGGGGAAGGGCGTGATCCAGGAAGTCTTCTTAGAGGAAGTGGCAGCTGGGAGTGTTTTTGGATCAGTTAGGCGTCTTGGTTGCGAGTTTTAAAACAAACTAACTTAAGCAATATGGGCTCACAAAACCAGTCCATAGGGCGATGGAACTTCAGGTAGGACTGGATTTGGGGCCCAGGTGGTGCCAGGAGGCCTCAGTCTCTCCACAGTGGCTAGCTCTGCTTCCCATGTGTCATCCGCACTCTCTGGCTGACAGAGTGGTCAGTGGTTGCTGCAGCCCTGACCTGAATCCTTCCGGGTTCAAGTGCAGGGGCAGGAAGACAGCACTTGTCTTTGCTGGTCTTCCCTGCTGAAGCCCCAGAGGAGCCCCGATGGGCTCATCTGCCCCAGTGCCTGTCCCTGAAGGCCTCGTCGTGCTCAAGGGAGGAGAGATGTACTAGTTAGGCCTAAATCACAGGCCCGTCCCTCGTGCCGGGGGATGGTCAGACCTGCCCCGAAGCCCAGGCCTCCTCAGGGAGGTAGGGTCCTCAGAGGGACCTTCTGGACTGGAGTTTGCCTGCAACAGCAGGATGGTGTGGCTGGACAGACACCTGCCTGTCACCACCTTGAAGGCCAAGTCGGGTTTCAGTACGTCGAGAAGCAGGGAGGACCTTTCAGGCAGAGGAACCAGACCAGGCAGAGACCTGGCTATGGGAAAGAGGTGTGTGTGTGTGTGTGTGTGTGTGTGTGTGTGTGTGTGTGTGTGTGTGTGTGTGGCAGAAACTGGCTCATGGTGTGATGTACACTGGGGAGGAGGCTGCACTCAGTAGGGCCCACTGGTAGAGGCCTGAACATTGAGCCTGCAATTTGATCTCTGGTCTCCAGGTGGTAGGGAGCCCATGAGGGCCCTAGATGGGAAGAAGGGTGTGAGGAAGCCTACGGCCCCCTCCTAGGAGCACCCAGTTCGACATCTGTAGTACGCTGCGGGTGAGAGGGAGTGAGCTTTCTGTGCCTCCCCCTTTCCAGCCAGCAGCCCCTCCCCAGCCCACCCCATGCCCATATGCATCTCCCCTCTGCCTTGCTCTCCTTGGGAGACCCTCATTCCTGCTGCCTCAAGCACTGTGTGGCAGGAGGAGAGGGCTCAGGCTCAGGCCTCGGATGGGGCCTGGAGCTCATACTGTCCCCAGCCGGGCCAAGTAAGCAGGACCTCCAGGGCAGTGGGAAGCTGGGCTTGGAGAGGAGCTTAGGAGGGCAAGGTCATCTACCTCGAGAGAGGCGACCGTGCCCCGGCATGTGGTCAGCCGGCCTGGGAAGAAGGATAGAGTCACCCCCTCATCCTCAGCCAGTGCCAGCTACTTGTACACCTCCCTGGGGTGACCACCCTCGCCCGGACCTGTAGGACGGGGCACACGCTCCTTCCTCCAGGGAGGGCAACCTGACAGCTGGGTCACGTCCCTAGCCCTGGGAGGGTCCCATAGGGAACCAAGGGGGCACAACCCCTGGACACCTTAGGCTTAGAAATCAAGCAGGGCTTGTGGCCCTGAGTGTCCAGGGCCCAGAGGCCCAATCTGCCCCTGCAGGCATGTTTGACCCATCTCTTGTTCCATACAGAATCACAGTGAGGTGGGAACATTTAAAAATCAGGAGGTTTTATGTAGAAGCTCAGATGTTCCCTTTCTCTGAAGAAATCAGAAGACCTCGTGTCTCTGGGTCCACCCTCGGCCTGTCCACTGTGGACTGGAAGAGAGCCGAGCTGCCCTTTAGGGTGGGCCCTCGCATGCGTGCACCCACGGGTCTCCCCCGCCTGGCCCTGAGAGCCGTTGGCTTGTGGTCTCCGTACCTGCATCTGTCTCCTCCAGCTGCTGTAACAAATTACCCCAAACTGGGCAGCTTAAAAGAGTAGGGATTTATTTCCTCATGACTCTGGAGTTCAAAATTAAGGTGTCAACGGGGCTATATTCCCTCTCAAGGATCTAGAGGGGAATCCTTCCTTGACTCCTCCAGCTTCTGGTGGCCCGAAGTATTCCTTGGCTCGTGGCTGCAAAATCCAGTCCGTGCCTCTGACTTCACGTGATCTTCTCTCTGAATCAAACCTCCCCCTGCCTTTCTCTCTTAAGGACCCTTGTCATTGGGTCTGTGGCCCACCCAGGCAGTCCAGGATACCTCAGCTCCAGGTTCTTAACTTTGTTCCGTCTTCAAAGACACTTTTCCCCAATGAGTTTGCACTCACAAGTTGCCAGGGACCCTGACATGGGTCCATGTTCTGGTGGCCACCACAGAACCACTTTGGGCCTCAGCTCCCTCCTCTGTAAAATGGGGCTGATAATGACAGCACCTACTTCGCATGCTTCTTGTGAGGACTGAATGAGTTAGAATAGCGCCTGGGAGAGGGTAGGCATTGTTAGTGTTATTCTCGATCTAAAAAAAGGAAAGAGCCACCTCTTACAAAGGCCAGAGTGGGTGAGATGAACAAGACACATGCCCAGGGGATCTGCCCGTCAGGCGGCTGCTAACGACCCGTCCGCCTTCAACTCCCGCAGACAACGGCCCCGTAGGGAAGCGGCGCACGGGGACGGCCACCGTGTTCGTCACCGTCCTGGACGTGAACGACAACCGGCCCATCTTTCTGCAGAGCAGCTACGAGGCCAGCGTCCCCGAGGACATCCCTGAGGGACACAGCATCGTGCAGGCAGGTGGCCGTAGCCCCCCTGGGGCAGCTGGTGGGCTGGGGGCAGGCAGGGCTGCACACACGCTCGGTGGCACGGTGGCCCGGGTGCCACCTGGAGGGATGGAAACGGGAGAAGGTCCAGCGGCTGCCCCGGAAGTAGCCAGGCACCCTCCTCCCTCCCGGGGAGAGCAGGCCTTTAGTTTCAGCACCCTGGCTCCCCCCAAAGACAGAAGGAAGGCCTTGCCTGCCTCCCGTTCCCCCAAACCCTCTCCTCTTCCCCCACGCCACCCAGAGGGCCTTCCAGAACAGCAAGGGGATGGAGCTGTCACATTTGCCCAGAAAGGAGGTGAGGGGAAATAGCCAGGGCCCAGCTAGGCCCAGAACAGAGAGGCTTTCATGGGGCCCTTGGCCAAAGCTCCCCTCTTGGGAAGTAAACAGGCACATGAAGAAAGAGCTCCTTTGCCAAGGGAGCAAGACCGACAGCTATGAGGCTCCGAGGGAGAAAGGGGAGGACCCGAAAAGGGAGGCCTCAGTTGCTGGGTGGGGAGGGAGGCCGGGCCTGAATTACCCTCTTCACCAGCTGTGGAGGCCGAGACTGAGCCAAACACAGCAAATCCGGGCCTGTCCCCTGGGGCAGGCTCCCAGGATCGGGAGGGGCTGAAAGTGTGTCCAGCTCCCTGCATCGGGGCCAAGAGGCTGGCAGGAAAGGGGCTGGGAGCAGGGTGCTGACTCCCAGAGGCCCAGAGAGTCCAGGAAACTGCAGAGATTAGCCAGAGGCCAGGGGTGAGTTCCGGAAGGAGGAGCGAGGAGGCTGTCTTCCTCTGGGGCTCAGCTTCTCCTCTGGCCTCACACCTGCCACCCCACTCACCCACAGTCTCCCAGGACCACAGTGGGGACACGTCTCCTTCCGGCCCTCCGAGAAGCCTCACCCCCACCCCTGGTCTCCAGGAAGAGAGCACCTAGTGCTGGGCCGGTGACTGTAGGCCAGATTCATCCTGGGATGTGACAGGGAGGCCCTGGGCAGGGAACCAGGACAAGGTTAACAAGCTGGAAGGGGAGAGGGTCCCAAAAGCCCGCGGAATGAGGCCTGCCCCACTTTCTAAACCTGAAGAATTGGTTTCTATTTACCCAACACGACACAGCCTGAAATCCTAGAGCCCAGGACTGAGACAGGGCAGCCCCAATGCTCCCTCATTTCTAAGGGAGAAATTCAGGCATTAGTGACTTCTCCAAGGCCCTGGAAGTTTCTGACCAAGGTGGCCTCAATCTCTGAAGGTACAGGGGACCTCACCAACATGCTTGGAGACAAAGCTTCTGTCTAAGGGCATGTGAGGGAAGATGCTCCCCCACCCAGGACTCCTTAAGCTTTGGGGGTGGGGACACACCCAGCTGGGGCCACCGTTCACTCAGGAAATAGAGACATAATTCATACTTCTGTGCGTGGAGCTGGTTATGTGAGAGGTTGGACACAGTTTCACTCTGCAAGCTCCCAGGTGCATAGGAAGGAGGAGACATAGATGTGGGTCTCCCACACTGCCAAGAGGAAGTGATCCCTGCCCTCCGTCTGAGAGCTGGGAAGGGTAGGGCTGGTTCCAGGCAGGAGGTGGCTTTCAGCTGGAGAGCAAAGACAGCCTCACGGAGGCGGTGCCTTGCACAGCGTAAGCCACAGCCTGGGGAGGGCAGGTAGTTCAGTTTGTGTGGAGTCTTGGGTCAGGATGAGGCTGGAAGGATAGTTTGGAGCCAGGTCCCAGAGGGCACTGAACATCAGACCAGGAAGCCCTGGCTTTCTCCAGCTAGCAGTTGGGAACCAGGGATGGTTCTGGAGCTGGAACCGTTGGGAACAAGTGGCAAAGCTGGAGCTCACTCTTTGAGAAGACCTGGCTGGCTGCACCGTGAGTCACAGCAGGGGGGCTGGGGCAGCCCTGTGGCTGGGCACCAGGTGGCCCTGGCCAGCTGACTCTCTGGGGCAGGAGGTAGGCAGCTCAGAACCCTTCTGCCCACTCTCCAAATCCGGGACCCAGAGTCACGGCCCTGTGGGGAGAGTTTGGGGGTTTGGAATGCTGAGAAGTCCACTCTAGGGTGGGATTGCTTTGGCAGGTAGCCAGTCAATGACGCAATTGCCAGAAACTCCGAGAGCAGACCTAGTGTGCTCCAGGTTTGAGGTGCTGTCCTGGAGAGGTCTGGATCCTCCTACCCCAAAGGGAGGATGCCTCCTGCCCTGCATGAGGCAGGAGCACTATGATGTGTCCTCAGAGCCCAGCTGGCATCACGTCTAGCTTCTGGCATTGCCTCCCACCACTCTGACACAGCACGGCTCCTGGCCTCTCAAGGAGCTCCTTAACCCATTCTCGGCCCCTTCCTGGTCCACTGTAACGTCAGCACCTTCGGGGGGGAGGGGGCACCAAGATGGCAATTAGCTGGGTAGTGTTGAGAGCCTCCTGCTTGCCCTCCTCCCAACGGGCACCGGGCATCTCACCCACCACGAGGGCGCTGGCTGCGCCTGGGGATTATCAGGCGAATGCTGGAGGGGCCCAGGAATTCCAAGGAGAGAAGTCCCTGGCTTTCCTCTTGCCTCGGGCACTGAGTTGGCACAGAGGGCCAGACAGTACCTTGCCCCCCATGTAGGCCGAGTATTTCCCTTGGCTGGAGGGAACCTTTGGCCGTTTGGCAAGTCAAACTGGAATCCACGCTGGGCTTTGGCACCTGGAGGGTGAGCAGGACTTCTGCTGGGGAGCAGGGGCACTGCTTCCCGGAGGTGGCTGGTGCCTGGTTGCCGGAGGAGGGTACCGGGGGCTGCAGTTCGCACCCTCCGGCCGCGCAGTCGGCCCAGCCGTCTTTCAGCAGGCAGCAGCTGGAGGGTCTGCAGAGAGGCAGGTCCTCCTCCCAGGGCTGTGTCTGGGAAAGGCCACGGGCCTGGGCACACAGAGGACCACTGGGGCTGAGCGTGTGGCCCACGTCTGTCCGCAGCCCCTGGTTCCGGGCTCTGTCCGAGGCAGGAGGGTCCGTGGCTGGGTCCGTGGCTGGGTCCGGGAGGCCAGAGCCGCCCCATCACATCTTGGTGGATTCCGTGCAGTCGCAATCGTGGGTGACATCGCAGCCTGGCAGGGGGCGTCGGGGAGCAGGCCTGCCCCGGCGGAAGCTGTGCAGGGAGTGGCGCAGAGAGCCCAGGCGCTTCCAGAGCCTGAGCTGCGGCTCGCTGGGGCTCCCAGGGTGGTGGGGCATGCACTCCCGAGCCCGGCGCTGGGCCGGGTCCAGCGCGGCTGGTCTGCAGAGGGTCATGAACAGCAGACAGCTGGCCAGCAGGAGGAAGATGCAAGCAAGGACGATGAGCATGGGCAGGGGGTCAGCCACCTCTGTGGGGCTGCCCGGAGTGACAGGAGCTGTGAGGAAGGCCAGGAGGCTAGGACCCTGTGTGCTCATGGCTCCTGCAACAGGAAGGGGACAGGAGCTCAGAGGCAAATCAGCTGGACCCAGGGCTGGCGAGGGAAGGGAACGTTGATGGGAGCCGGGTGCTGCTAACCTAGCTGCAGAGAACATCATGGCCATTTTACAGGTTAGAACAGTGAGGACCAGAGAGGTTGACGAGTGTCAGGTCACACATGGAGCTGGGCCTGAACTCAGGTCCGCTTTCTGCTATATCCCCTGCCCACCTGCTGCAGAGGAGACAGGAGGATAATGCCTCTTGGCCTTGAAAAATCAGTTCTCATGAATTACAATAGTCTTACACCTGAAAACCTGGGAACATTCGACCAACTCCGTCAATAGGTTGCTCTCTGGCCTGGAACGAGTCATCAATTATAGGATGCTGCCACTGGCAAGGACCCTGACAATTATCTAACGTTGGGGCTGTAAACCGGGGGCCCATGAGTATTTTCACTGGGTCCTTGTAGTGTTTTTATAAATTTCAATTAATTGTGAATATTTTAAAAGTAACAGACCAAAACCCAGGAGATTTCACATAAATACCTGGAAATCTGGCTTCTCTTGAAATTCCAGAATTTCGGCAATGGCAACGCAGGGCCAGTTGCTGCCTGGCACCCTGTAGAGGAGGCCAAGCAGCCGTTGTCTCCTTCAGACAGATCTGGCCCCCAGATCACCATACTCCCCTTCCCACAGGTCCACTACACGCCTTATTTCACCTGCCTGCTCCCCTGGACATTCCTGTGGGTGCTTACTAATGCAGCCCAGCCTGCTCCCATGACAAGTAAGGAACCTGAGACCCAAACAAGGGAAGGCCAAGCCCAAGCCCACACTGTGAGCCATGGCCAAGCAAAGGCCAGAATCAGGTTTCCTGACTCCTGGCCCTAAGGCTCCCAGTCCTCTGGGATCATGAGCCACTCCTAGAACAGGTGAAAAATAATCCACAAAGAGAGCTTCAGAGTTGACAAGGTGGGGCTCAGAACGCCCCCCCCCAGACACCAGTCACCTGTTAACACTCATGACCATCCTACTAAAGGGAGCTCAGCAGAGGATCTTTGGAGATGAAAAATCAGGCTGAGCTTCTGGTTGAATATGTCTGGGGATGCAGATGACAATACTTACAGAGCCTGGCCGGTAGGTAATGTGAGACCACAGAGGGCTGGTGGCAGGTCTACTCAGAGAGTGTCCTTGCGGAAGTGGCGGTGCCTCGCCCAGGCTGATGGAATACAGACCCAGTGTAGTTGGCCCTTCCGGTTTCCCAAGAGAAGCCAGAAATTGCCTGGATTTTTCAGGCAAATGTTCCTGACATTTAAATGTTGACAACTCATTCAAATTTGGTTAAAGCAGGAGACAGGTGGGGAAGGGAGGATATGCTGCAAAGTAAACAAACTTGACCCCCCAAAAATTTGAAATGAATTTTCAAATATCTAAAACACAAAAACAGGCCACACAAAATACACAAGTGGGCTACCTCCAGCTCTCAGGCCAGCATAGATGATCTTTGATTTCTACAAACACAGGACAGGAAGTCCCAAAGAGGGTCTTAATAAAAAAAAAATGATCACTTCTTTCTTTTTGACCTTGGAGACGTTCCTGTGATGAGGGATGGCAGGTTGCCCTCCTTCTCCCCCAGCTCTCGGCTTAGAATAAACTTACAGTTGACTTTCTAGCATGGTGCCCAGCAGAGTCACGCCAGGGCTCTGTATGTGGCGCGCTCTGTGTCAGGAGCGCTATGATGTGTCCTCTCATAGGCAGTGGGGAGCAGAGAGGGGCCACCCGGCCCCCGCCCTCTGGAGCCCCCCGTCCCCACCCCAGGTACTCACCAGCAGCGGCAGGACCTCACTCCCAGCTCCCAGCTCCCTGCGTTCAGCCTCCTTCCTGCCTGCAGCCTCGCCCTGCACCCAGCCAACTGAGAGCATCCAGGGCAGCCCCCCCACCTCCCACCCATTCCCTGCCGCCACTCCTTCCAGCGTTTTCAAACAGAACACGACCCCTCCCAGCTGGAAATTTTGATGCCCGTCTAGCTGCCCACGGCCTCTGCCTTTCAGGCATTGGGCCTAGAAAGCACTCTGGCTGGGCAGCCATACGTGGGTTGGCCCGCCCTTGAATTTGAGCACAGAGAAGGGATGGGGGTGTGCCCACCACCATCTCCCACAGGGAGAAAACTGGCCTTCTAACCTCCCCCAGGCAGTACAAGTACATGGCTGGGAGTAAGAAAAGGGCAATCAGAAATGGGAGAGGTCTCTACCCTGTTAGCCCTGATATTATGGCAAGGCCCTCCCGTGGGTCTGGAGATCCTATCAGGCTAGCAAAGCTGGTCCAGACTTTGGTCCCAGGGGAAGAAGCACTTTAATAAAAAGATAAATGAGGCTATAATTAGCATTTTAGTAGTTTTCTTGGAAGCAAGAGACTCTAAAGCACTTGAAAATATCAAGCCACCCTCCCTGAAACACACAGCAAAACCAGCTGCCAGGTCCTTTTACAGCCCCTCTGATCCACCAAGGGCCTGCTTGCAGGGAAAAGAGGCCCCACCAGACCAAGGTTTGGAATAGTCTTGAGGGCAGTTGAAGCTTCTCCCTGCCTGCAAGCCCAAGGCACATTTGGCAGGCCTGGCTCTGGACATATCTCTGCAGGTCCAGTCTAGAAACTTCTTTCTTCCCTCAGAACCCCGTTAATCCCAGAACACATCTTGCTGTGCGGCCTTGGGCTAGTCACTATCCTTCACTGGGCCCTGTTTCCACTCTCTACAAAAGCAGAGGGATTCCCCAGGTCTGAGCGCACCCTCGCCTCCTCCCCAGAGTACCCCAGCAAGGGTCTGGCCCCACTTTCTTCACCAAGGCTTTTCCTGCAGTCCCCCGAGCACTGACCTCAGAGCCAGCGCTCAGCAGTCCCAAGCTTGGTAGAAAGGTCGTCTTAGCCGTCCACGGGAGGGCCAAGGAGCACCAGGTGCCAACCGTGTCCCCAGCCTGCCCTGGACTCTGCCGTACCCTGTGCCCCTCAGTCAGCCAGGCTGGGCAGAGTGGGCCGTCTTCACTCACTCTCCAGCTAGCCCTGGCTTTGTCTGGAAGAGTTTGGGCCCTGCCTTGGGGGAGGGGACAGCCAAGAGGGTAGGGATGGCAACTGGGCCAGGCAGAGGGAGAGGGGAGCCGTGCAGAGGAGCCGGGTTGCTCCCAAGCCCTCCCAGGGCCCCTCTCCGGCAGGTCTCCTTGGAGCCCTCACAGGGGCCAGGGGGGAGGCACTGGGGAGGCACAGGGAGGGTTTCACAGCCCCCGCAGCGGCTCTCACCTTCCCCCATCGGGGCTTTGAATGGTATGGTCGGCAGCCAGCGCCTTGCTATTCAGTGCCTGCCAGCCTCCGGGTTACCCGGGAGAGGGGACAGGAGACAGGGGCTGGGTTACAGCCCAGCGCAGAGGGGTAGGCCCTGGCCGCTCCCGGGCCCCTCCTCCCCTCCTGCGTCCCTGGGCCCCTCACTTTCCAGGCTTACCCCTCAGCTTCCCAGAAAAGCACCTGCCCTTTGAAGGTGTCTGGCTGCAGAAGTGAGGGGTGAGAGACATTCTCAAAGGTCCAAGAGATCTTAGGGCAGAAAGCACGGGATTGAGGGACAGCCGTGGCTTGCTCCTTATAGTTCGGGTGGGCCCTTGGAGCCCCTCCAGGTGGTGGCTCTCCAGCCCTCCCCACACCACACACACCGCACACACCCCCACACACCCCACACACACAGGCACACGCCCCTCCCCCAGCCTTCTTTCTTCCCGGAAGCCAGAGCGTCCCCCGCAGCCTCCCCGGAAGCCAGCAGCCTGCAGAGGAGCCTAAGTCTTGAGCAGCTTCCCTGTCAGGGACCCCCCCCCCGCCGCCCCCACCGCCTGCCAAGGTCCCAGAAATACAACACAGTGGTCACGGTGCCAGGGCCATTGCTCTAGAGACTGAGGAGATAGCAGTGGACAAAGGCCCATCCTCTCGGCGGGAATATAGCCACTGAGCAAGGATGCAGTATGTCAGCAGCTGATGGGGGTGGGGACAGCCTACGTATTGGAGTGGGGAATGCAATGCCACATACAGCGCTCAGGGAAGGCCGGACGAGAAGATGACATTTGAGCAGAGACCTGAAGGACATGAGAGAGCGAGCATGCAAATATCTGGAGGGAGAGCGGGCCGGTGGGGGCAACAGCACGCACTTGGCATTCAATATAGAGAAGGAGATCGGAGTGGCCAGGGCAGAGCAGGTGAGGGGGGGTGGTGAAAGATGGGCTCACATACTCCCAGTTCTCACCAGAAGGAAGATGGACTTGCTCTTTCTCTCGGCCCAAGGTCCAAAGTCCCCGCGAAGGATGAGATTGACCCAGTCTTGACCAGGTACCTTCTCCCGGACCGGTCACCACTGGCCATGGTCCATAGGAAAATGGCAGCTCCAGCGCACAACACAGAGTTGCAGGGAGAGAGGCAGAGAAGAGGGCCGATCCAGAAGAAGTGAGAGGTCCAGGGCATCACAGAGCAGTTCACCACCAATCGAGACAACCTCCCGAGGCCCCGGGTCTTCCCAGCCACATAGTGTCAAGTCTCTTCCTGCATCACCTTCCAGGGGAGCAATCTCTTGACTCACTTCAGGGTAGAGTAGGTGTTCAGTTCCTGGTTTGACAGGACTCGCCTTGGGGCCGGCCATGACTCTGCCAGCAGCCTCGAGGCTGGGCTCCGTGTGAAAAGGGATAAGCACTGCATATGTCTCTGAGTGAGAACAGCACGCCCCCAAGTTCCCCCAGAGACCGTGCGTGAGGCTGAGGCACAGCCAAGCAAGCCGCCAGGCGGGGGGCGGCGGCGGGGGGGGGGGGTCTGAAACTAGACCGGAGCAAATGTGTAGGTGATAGAAGATGGAGCCACCTGGTGGGAGGTGGGATTTCTGGGTTTCTGCGAAGTGGCTGTTACAGGACACAGTGCCCAGCTGGGACTCAGTGTGGCCAGAATGGCTTCAGACCAAGAAAGTGGGGGCAAGAAGCAGCCACACAGTCCAGCCCCCTCAGATGCGGCTCCTGGGATCTCAAAAGGCTGAAGGCGGGAAGCAGGTTCCTACGGGCTGACCTCGTCAAGCCTAGAGCCAGAGAGCTACTGTGCCGGCATCCACCTTCTCCCCCAGCCTCCCCGAGACCCTAGTGGAGGATCAAGGAGCAGAGCTGGCAGGTCCCCTCCCCTACAGGGCAGCAGAGAGCCACCAACAGGTGTCCTCATGGGGGATGAGACAGACAGACGTGTCCTTCTCTCTCATACCCCCAGCTTCTGTGGGAAACCACTGGTTGTCCAGGATGGGCTGGGAGTGGTGTGGAGGGCAGGAAAGGGGCTTCACACACAGTCTTCTCTCCCTGTGTGGCGGGCGGTGGGCAGTGGGGGACGGGATTCGAGGAGTGACCACATGTCTCATTCTCCCTCAGCTGAAAGCCACAGATGCAGATGAAGGCGAGTTTGGGCGTGTGTGGTACCGCATCCTTCATGGTGAGTGGGCTGCCCTAGGATGGAGAGGGGCCAGCGCTCCTGCCCTTAGAATGGCAGAGCTTCTCTAGGCTGCCAGGAGTCTGGGAAGCAAGGCCAAGGGATATCGCCCTGACCGAGGGGGCCTTTGGGGTAGGGCAGCCCCTCCGCAGCAAGCCCCCCGGAGATGGTCATTGGCCCAACATATAGCATGGGACCATCCCTGAACTAATTACTATTGGCCAGAGACTAAAATCTGCTGATCTGCCCAGTCTGGAAATCAGGGTAAGATCACCCCTACACAAAGCACTTGGACTGAGAGTGGAGGAGGGTGGATCCCCAAAGGAAGATCAGAGTCCTGTTCCCCCAAGGTGGCAGAATGGGTACGAGACTTGGCCCAAAGATGTATGCAAAATCCTCAATTCAACCACCCACAAAGAATTTGGTTCTGGTTCCTCTTTTTGTAGTGTCCCAGACCTTTCTGAAATACTGAATCCACCGGCACGTCTGGGTACGGGCGTGTCAGGGGACTCCCAGCCTTCCCATAAGGAGCGTATAAGGCAGGCTCCTACCCTCTCCCTCAAATCCTCCCAGGCCAGGGCAGCATGAGGACAATAACTTCTTGCCATCGTGGGCTTCATCCAGGGTCCCAAGACCTCTGGGCAGGATCAGCATTCTGGGTATCTGGGCGCCCCCCACTTCCCCCCCCCAGCCCCACTATGCCACGATCATCCCATGTCTTGCTCCAGGATGGAGCCCATGCATCTCCTCTGTCCCTCCGCACAGGTAACCATGGCAACAACTTCCGGATCCATGTCAGCAACGGGCTCCTGATGCGAGGGCCCCGGCCCCTGGACAGAGAGCAGAACTCATCCCATGTGCTGATAGTGGAGGCTTACAACCATGACCTGGGTCCCATGCGGAGTTCCGTCAGGGTAAGATGCTGGGAGGCGGGGTGGGGTCAGCAGTGAAGCCCTGCCTCCCCTTTAGCAGCAGCCTCGGAGATGGGCCGAGACCACAGCTGGCCCAGAGATGGCCACCAGCGGGGGCCCGGTGGGGGCAGGCCACCACTGGTTTAGGTGCAGAATGACCTGGGGCTATGGTTGCCGGAGGGCATGCCGAAGCCCAGCCTGGGATCTCAGAAGTGTCATTTTGCTCTGAGCCTCAGTTTCTCCAGATGTGGAAGGGGGTCAGTGATACTGATGGCTGTCCTAAGGGCTGAAGGAGGTGTCCTTACGGTACTAACCCCCATACCCACACAACTCACAAGGAAATCTCACAAATCTGACCTTCGAGGTAGAGATGTTGCCAACTTGATTTTACATGTGAGGGAACTGAGGTACAGAGGGGTCGCTAGTGATAGAACCAGGACTTGAGCCTGGTCTTCCAAGTCCAGGTTCAGTGCACTTTCCATTGAAAGTGTCCCCCAAATATTCCGGTTACCACTCCCAGATGTATTCTTTTCTGCCCACCCTCACTTACCTCAAGCCTCTGCCCCATGTGGCTGAAATCACATTAAACCTCCATCTTCCTGAATGGTCAACAACAGACGCACAGATACTCCTACTGGCCGGGCTGGTTGAGGCACTGTTCTGCCCAATGGCAGGGGGGTGGCTGAGGTAAATGACATGGCTCTAAAGGTCACCCCGCCCTCCCCCCACTGCACACTCAGCAGCTCACAGCCCCTTCCCCACAACCAGGTGGAAAGTGAGTCAGACCCCAGAAGTGAAGAGTAGGTGGAGGTAGGAAAACCCGGGGTGGGGAGCAAGCAGGGACTTTTACCCAGGACTGTGTGGAGCAAAATGAGCTTCTTATCAGCCCCATCTCCACCCCACTCTTTCCCCAGACTGAAAACAATGAACAGCAACCTGCCTGGGGTCACCATCACGCAGGAGGTGCTGGGGGGTAGGTGACTCAGCCTTGGCCCATCTCCTGCTTGTGTCCCCTCAGCTTTGCCCCAGGAGGAGAAGGAAAGAGCAGTCAGTCTGGGTCCTTACAGCTGCCCCTCTGAGTGAGCTCTTCCCCGGGTGGGGATGGCTGAGGGGTTCACATCCCTGGGATGTTTACACCTTGGGGCTTCTTGGGATGATTCCGGGCCACTGGTGACGGCAGTTCACACTCAGTTACCTGACTGTGCACCAGGGCATCCCCACATAGCCCTGCTCCCCTGCAGGTCCGTGAATTGCTTACATGCTGGTGAGTGCACTCACATCAGAGCATGCTCTTTGAGGGGCCCACTTCAGGCCACAGAGGGACTGATGTCAGCGTAGCTTGGGTTGGCTACCTGGACTTGAAGCTTCCTAATCAGAGCCCTCCCTCTGGCCTCCTCACTCCCCACCCTCCCAGAAGCAGGTGGGCACCTCTCTCCAGGGCCTGCTCCTGTCAGCCTTGACATTGTGACTGTAAACCTTTTTTTTTTTTTTTAAGATTTTATTTTTAAGTGATCTCTCCACCCAGCGTGGGGCTCGAACTCACAACCCCAAGATTAAGAGCCGCATGCTCCACCCACTGAGCCAGCCAGGTGCCCCTAACCACAGACCTTTTGAAACAAAATGGTATACAGTGGGCCAGGATACAGCGTAAAACAGATGGAAGCCACACTGGGCCGGTCAGTGGGGGGATGGGAAATACACCTGCTCGCCCCACCCTCCTTTGCTCCTCTCCGCGTGAACCCCGAGGGAACCCCGCGTGAAATCCTCACATGGTACTTACTCTCTGCCAGGCATTTCTCAGTGCTTTATGACCTTGAACTCACTTAACCCTCATAACTACAAGGTAGGCACTGTTACCATACCCATTGTATGGAGGAGGAGACTGAGGCAGAGAGGGATTGGCCAATGTGTACAGGGCCCCATAGCAATAAGGATAGAGCTGGGCTTCACACGCAAGCAGTCCACGCAGGTCGGCTCTCTCAGCCCCTACACTCTGCTGCCTCACATACAGGCCCTTCAGAGCCCAGAGTCCACTGCCTAAAACCCTGAGTTATTTTAAGGTGGGAATTTAGGAGCTGGCACCCAGGGCAGAGGCGTGATAGCCTTTGTGAGACACAGCCTCCACAACTCCGAGCCCCAAGAAACCTGGGGACTTCCCTGAAGACAGTGTGGGGACTCTAGCTTTGCCCTGGATTCATTTGCCCAGCAGCAGCCGAGATGGCTTCTGGGGACCATCCACGTTCCCCAGGTCCTGCTCTAGAGACCAGGGACAGCGCAGACAAGGGCCCAGGAGCACGGAGTGAAAGGCCCTCCTAGAGCCTGGGGGCCTCACGTGCACCCTGCAAGCGTGCACGTGCATGTACACATGTCTCCTGCCCTGTCCCCTCTGGAGAGCACAGCACGACACAGACAGTGGGGCTGGTTCTCCAGGGGGCCCAGGAGCTGAGCCCTCCCGCTTATAAGAACTTGGCAGACCTGTGCGTTTCCTGTACATCTGTGTCTCTCAGGTTTGCAAACCACACACCAGTAGGCCTCCTGTCTCAGCTGCTAAAACAAGGCTGAAACTGACGAGAGGATGGTGGCGTGGAGCCAGCCTCATGGAGCACGGGCCACACCCAGGCTCCATGCCACCCCCCTCCTCCTTATCATCCTGGCAGACTGGCCCTGTTTGTGCCCCCACGACCCCCAGAGTAAAGGCCAGTTGGACAAGCCGACTCAGGAAGGGGAAGGCTCACGGTTTTGAAAGATGGATGGTTAGTTTCTGTTTACAGCAAGAGAGTTCCTGATATTCGTCCATGCAAATTCCCCCCACACCCACCCCACCCAGGATCTTCCCAGCCAAGTTCTTGGTGAAGCCAAACTTAGAAGGTTCTGGCTTGTGAACAGCTGTGCTCTGGGGTGGACACTTTAGTTTGCATAGTGGGTTCTGGGTGTCTGGACATGAAAATGTGATGACGCAACAGGGCTGCAAGGAACCCCAAGAGCCGGGAAGAGAGAGAAACCTTTACCCGCATATGCCTCTCCTCCCCCCTGCTAATGTTCTCCACGAGTCAGGCCACCATTTCTGCTACCGAAGCTCCCCCACTTCTCCAGCGGATTCCCAGCTAAGCCCAGGAGAGAAGCCAGGGCTGATCCCAACAGCCGTGATCAATCAGAAACGCAATATTAGCGCTGTCAGATTGTCTGTGCCGTGGCCCCGCCATGAGCGCTGGTAAGCATGTGTGAAATCTGTGTTGCACACTCTTGCCAGTGCTCCATTTGCTGCTTCCATTCTTCTGGCAAGTTCCTGCTGACCCTGGTTCTGTCAGGCTGGAAGGAGGTGGTCTCCTCTTCTAAGGCCAGCTCATCCCCAACATAGAGCGAAGAGGGGTAGAGGTTGGTGGGCTGAGAACCAGGAGGGCCCCCCTCTTTCCCACCCCTTCAGTTACCATGAGGCCTTGGGTACATCCCTCCCCCTCCCTGAGCCTCCGTTCCCCCCGTCTGGGAAAAGAGGCAGGGACCCTGGGCCTCCCTGTGGCTCCTTAAGCACCAACACTCTGTGATACTCTCCTTTCCCCTACCACCCTGGTCCTTCTGGACACAGAACTGGTCCTGCCCGTCCCTGGGCCGGACCCTCCCTGTGCTCCTGTGTGATGTGAGGGGCAGGGGCAGGTGATGTAGCAAAAAAAAAAAAAAAAAATGCTATGACCCTGATCTCTCTTCCATAAAGATCTCTTAAACTGTTTTTCTTCTGTTATGCAAGATCTATGTGTTCTTTAAAGAGCAATTAGAAAGTACAGATAAACAGTGATGGAAATGATGCATAATTCCACTAGTCAGATAGAGCCGCTATCTTGGCCAGGCTCCTCAGAAGCAAATCCTGGGACAAGAGTTGATAGGAAGATGGTTAAGTAGGAAGTGTCCCCAGGAAAAGCCCGAAGGGGCGTGGGACCAGGGAAGGAAAGGCAGCTGGGGAGCTTTGACTCAGCCCCACGGAGAGCTCTGGAGAGAATCACTCCAACTACCCAATCAGGGCTGAGGAAGCCAAGTGTTTACAGTCTATACCCATCAGAACCTGGTAGGGGCTGCCCCAGGGGACATAATCCCCAGGCCCTTCCGGCTCTCTGGGTGTGTGTGTTCCAGCAGCCTGGTGGGGTGGGGTGAGTCCCCTGCCAAGAGCCATGGTGGCTGGCTGGCAGAGAGAGCCCCCAGAGAAAGTGCCTTGGTGATCAAAAGGAGTCTGAACACCGAAGTCCTCTGCTACAATCATCATGAACATTTTTGTGCCTGTTCTCCCAGATAGATTTTGATATTCCAGTGGGGTCACTTCAACCTTTTTAAGCACTTTTGCAAATCCTGGCTCGTTTTGTCTTCCTACCAACTGTAGACGTGGCACAGAGCATGAGTTACCAGGCTGATATATTACTGTTCATAGCTGAGCAACTGGATGGCCCCAAAGAGTCACTAATTAGTCACAGGTTCCCACAGGGTTAGTAACAGTGCCAAGAGTAAGATCACATGACGTTCGAGCACCTGCCCCGTGCCTGGTACTGTGCCAGGTGGGGGGGCCGTGGTGACCAACTGTCAGGAGCTCCTCAGTGGCCCAGGAGAGCAATGCCCATACACGCAGGCCCAGGTGGGCCGGCCCTGGACTCCTCCGGTCTCCACCCCACTTTGACCTTCCACCCCCCGTCTGGCTCCTACAGGTGATCGTGTACGTGGAGGACGTCAATGACGAGGCCCCCATGTTCACACAGCAGCAATACAGCCGCCAGGGGCTTCGAGAGACCGCGGGCGTCGGCACGTCAGTCATCGTAGTGCGAGCCACCGATCGAGACACCGGTGAGGCCGGCTTTCCCCAGAGTCACCCTCCGCAGCTCGTCCCTCCAGCTCCCGTGGGGACCGTCATCCTCGGGACGCCGCAGCCTCCCCCATTCAGCAGCTCCCAGGCTGGGGAGGGGCTCTGGGGACAGTCCTGGTGGCTTCCGCACCAGATGCCCAGGCCTGCAAGGACTGGAGTAGGGGACTTGTCCCAATCTCTGGATGGAGAGAGGGGAGGTCCCGAGCTTGGAAAGTCTAGGTTTCTCACTGGCAGAGTTGGCAGCTCCTGGCTAGCCTTTGGCTGGGGGCCGGGCAGGGCTGGGGGAGGTAAGGGACTTGTCACACAGCTGGCCAAGGCCTGCCCCTCCAGCCAGTGATGGCTCCGTGTCCTGCGGGCCTGGCTCAGGGCCTGATACACGCAGGCTTCACAAGGGGCAGTGTTCTGGAGTGCTCTGAAGGCAGCCCACCCTCGCCAAGGACCCTGAGCCCCAGAGACAGTCACAGCTGGCGGTGCAAAACAGAGGAGAACGTGGCCAGGTCACAGCAGCCCTCTTCATGGGCCCTGGCTATTTGGGCCTCTGCCCCAGGCCAGGGATGCAGCCAGAGAGGAGCTCTTTCCTGGACGGTCCACTGCCGCCCCTGGAGAGGCTCCCTGAGCTGCTCCCAGTGTCCCAGCTCCAGCCCCTTCCTCATGTCAGCCCCTGCCAGCATCCCCAGCCCCGCTGGGGCACAGGATGGGGTAACGGGGTTGCAGGGGGGGAGATGGGTCAAAACTGTCAGATTTGCCATCCCTTATATGGCTCACTGATACAGTTCAGGCCACATATGTCCCTGTTGTCTAATGGTTCATGGCCTTTTCTGGGTCAGGAATCCCTTTGAGAAATTAGTAAGAGCTAAGTGTCCCTCCCTAGAAGAATGCACATCCATTATGAGTTTAGCAAATGATTTTAAGGAAGTCTGGGATTTCCTGAGTGGTTTTATGGCCATTCCCCTGGAAGTCTGTGGACTTCAGCTAAAGAATCCCAGCTTGAGCTCCTGGTTGAAGAAATGTACCGAGGCTGAGGGATTTTAGGTGAAGGAGTAGGGCGGACAGGGGAAGGTGGCCCTGGTACTCGCACCCTTTGGCTGGAGGAACCAAATGGAGCCTTGGCCACTTCTGAGGATGCTGCCCCTAACACTTTCTAGATGAAAGCTCCCCCTTACAGGAGATCCCTAATTTCCCCATTGCTACTTGTCCAAATACCCAAGGCTGGGAGGGGTTGCTACTTGAGCTTGAATTTAGAGGCTCCAGAAGCGGAACCAAATCCCTCCAGCACATCTCTTATGCCAAAGCCAAGCCCCAGAGAGGCTGTGTGTGTTGGGCCTTGCTGTCCACATAGACCCTGGCCCCATCCTCTGCCACTTCTCTCGGGGCAACCCGACCCCCCAGAAGTGGGGGGCAGTACACACTGGGCAGGTCAGCCAGGGCCACTCACCTGGTCCGTCAGGGCCAGTAGCAGGTGTGCCGTCGGCAGCCTGGCAAGCCACAGGGCAGCCCCACCCCCATCTGGGACAGCACACTCTTGTGTCCTCCTGCAGGGGCCGGCGGCCTGGTGAATTACCGCATCCTATCTGGCGCCGAGGGGAAGTTCGAGATTGACGAGAGCACGGGGCTCATCATCACTGTGGACTACCTGGACTATGAGACCAAAACCAGCTACCTGATGAACGTTTCTGCCACCGACCAGGCCCCCCCCCTTCAACCAGGGCTTCTGCAGCGTCTACATCACGCTGCTCAATGAGCTGGACGAGGCTGTGCAGTTCTCCAACGCCTCCTATGAGGCGGCCATCTTGGAGAACCTGGCACTGGGCACTGAGATCATGCGGGTCCAGGCCCACTCCATTGACAACCTCAATCAGATCACCTACCGCTTCGATGCCTATACCAGCGCCCAGGCCAAAGCCCTCTTCAAGATAGATGCCGTCACGGTGAGGGAGGCTGGGAGCCGGCACAGCAAGGGCTCTCCCTGGGAGCAGGAAGCACAGTCCTTTTAAAGCTAACCAACATTTCTTGAGTTCCTTCTATAAGCACGGCACTATCCTCTTGGTCATAGAGTGTCTTTGAGATAAATACCCCTGTAATGCATCCCTCTCAATATTCAGGGGTAAGATAAAATTTATACCTAGGCAACCTGGTAACCTTCTTACTAGTAGACAGTGAGAGCTATGCAAGTCATCACATTTCTCTTTTTACCTTGGCTGTTAGGAAGCTCAGATGTGAATTGCTTCATCACAATAGCCAGTCTTAGCTAAGTAGCAGCTAGTCTCTTATCTACTATTTGGATCTTACTCTTCCATCTCTGCTTTGGTGTGTCTTTTATCAGACTCCCTTCTTTGAAAATAGGCAAGGTATGAATCACAGCAGGGTACAGGTCTTGTCCTAGGGAATATTGGGTTCACAAAGATGAACGAGACCCTTCCCAGCCCCCAAAGAGTTCGTAGACTGGGAGGAGAAATGAGGATAATCAGGGATGTACATCCAAGCACCACAGGGGAAGATGTGAAAAGAGCTACAATACAGGTGTAGTGGAGCTCCCAGGGGCCCAAATGAGAGTGATCTTACCTGGCTGGGGGAGCAGGCAGCCTACACGGACGAGGTAGCATCTGAGCAAGGTTTGAGAAGGAAGTAGGATTTAGGCTGACAGAGCTCCGTGGAGATGTTCTGCTGGGCAGAGGGAGCGACGTGGAAGGTGGGAAAGTGGGCGAATGTTGGGGATTAGCGAGGACTCTGCTTTGGTGGGGGCACAGGACAGCTTGGGGGCAGGGCGGCCTCTGCCTGGTGGGTACGATGTCGTCAGCCTCCCGTCTGTTCCGCTCCCGGCAGGGTGTGATCACGGTCAAGGGCCTGGTGGACCGGGAAAAAGGTGACTTCTACACCTTGACAGTGGTGGCAGATGATGGTGGCCCCAAGGTGGACTCCACCGTGGTGAGTGAGACCCCGGGTGAGAGCCCCACAGGCATAGCCCATCACCGCCCCAAGGCACCCCAAAACACACATCTTCACCGGCCACCCCCACACAGGCCAGGCAGCGGGTGAGGGTTTCGGCCATGCAGGGACAGTGCTGCAGCCATCATGCCACACCTTCCCCGGGCAGCCTGGGCTAGGGATGAGACCACAGACCGGTGGGGGGCAGGGCAGCTGGGAGGGAGCTGGGGGAGCTGCAGACTGCTAACCATTCATACCGTGGCCTTTTCTCTCCCTTGGCCTCCTGCCGGCTCTGCCTACAGAAGGTGAGTGGCCTGTGGACTGGGGCTGTCCCCTGTACTGTTGGCTGTGGCCAGTGCCGGCTCCGTCCCTATGTGGCACTGCACCTTCCTGCATCCTCTGGAGACAGGCCCATGAACAGGCCCGCAGCAGGTTCCTGCCCAGACCCTTCACAACCACTCCTGTCCCGGCCCATCTTGGGCACGTTCCCCAGATCCAGCTCTGCCCTTCATGCCAGCCCGTGGGGGCTGGGATTTGGGGTAGGGGGCACTAGAAAGGCGAAGGTGGGACACACAATAGAAGGAACACGGAGGCTTCGTCCCAGCTCTGCTGTGTGACACAAGCAAGTTGCTCAACTTCTCTGTGCTTCTCTTCCTCGGGTCTAAAGTGAGGATCTTGCCCACGGCCCTGAAGCTGGCAGGAGGTGGCGAATAAGAAGCCCTTTGTAAACTAGGCCCCAAGGAGCATATGATGGGAGTGGCATCCGTAAAGGGGAAACTAGCCCTCTCTTGGGGGTTGGAGGAAGGAGCATATAATGTTATGGAACATGAGGGTGGGGCCCACGGTGCCGGGGCCTGGGGCATGCTGGGCAAGGGCTGCCATGGGCACAGTGTGAGTCACTGACCTCAAGGACTCTAGGGCAGGAATACCACGTGCTCAGAGCATTTTGAGGAACATGACTGCTGAGGCCAGAGGTGTCGGGCAAGGTTCTTAAGAAGGGGAAGCAGGGACCTCAGGCTGGGGGGTTGAAATGGGGGTGGTCCCCAGAGTGGAGGGTCTACCACTATCCAAGAGGATAGTGCCGTGCTAATGTTCTTCTACAAGAACGTTAACAGTGTACTGGGCTTGGGCCCCAGCCAATCCGGTCTGAGGCCATCTGTCCACCCCCTGGGGCATCTGGCTCATCCCCGGCCCTGGTTATAGCCACATTCTCACTCCCCACTGGGTCCCTATCACATTCGCCTAGAAGGACGGAAACAAACCCACTGTCCAGGCTAAGAACCCAATGCAGCTGCTTGGGGTTCTCTGCCCCACAGCTCCCTGGAGGTGCTCAGTTCCAGTGGCCCTTGTTGTGACTTAGTTGTATCCCGAAGCCCCCTCCATCCACAGGGCCAGCCTGGGGGTAGTGAGGCCAAGAGTAGCCATGAGCTGCATAGCTCCCCTGAGCCCCGCAGTGTTCCCAGAGGGCAGCCGGTGAGCAGAACCCTCAGTGCTGGATGCCAGGCAGGTACCATGTCCCGGCCCTCCCATCTCAGGCTCCTGGCCACCCCAGCCAGAGGAGCTGAGGCTCAGGTCAAATGGGGCCCTCTCATCGGCAGCCTCATCTATAAAATGGGCATAGTTGCAGCTCGCCCCTCATTTTTATGGGGAGTCTGGGAGCTGAGGCCAGGTGGAGCCTGATAAGCAGCCAGGGTGGCCAGGATGCTCCCACCAAGGCCACTGGAGGCCTTCTGTAGATTAGGTAGCCCCCATCCTCCACACAGGCCGGGGGGGGCGCACCCTAAGCACACACTCCTGCTCAAGCCCTGTATCTCCATAATCGCTATACCCTCTTCCAGGAAGCAGGACCTACGGCTTTCTGCTCTGCCCTGGCTTCCTCCCAGGCCCCAGCGCCCACTGCCCCAGATACAGCAGCCCTGTTGGCCCCCGGCACTGTTGGAAGTGGTAGGGTGGAGGCAGCCTGAGGGGCCTTTTAAAGGTGGCATCATTTCCTCTGCAAGGCCGGAACCCCCAAACCGCAGCTCACCTACACCTGACTCTTCCCTGACCCCAGCAGCCCCCGTGGGCCCTGGGAGGGGTGGGGAGGCAGCAGGAAGGGGCAGGCAGGGTGGGGGGGGGCGGCAGGCCCTGGCATAACACCTTCAGGCCTCTGGGGCCAGGGGAAGTAGATTTGGACCATGAGGCCCTGTGTGGGAACACAGACCCAGATCTGATTCTATAGACCTTGGCACCTGCCCTCCGTTCTCCCCCACTGAGGCTGACTCTCCGCTGCTGGGAGCACCTCACAAACAGCATCACAGTGGTAATCCTAGAGGAAGCACCTACTGTGTGCCAGGCTCTGGACTGGGCTCAGGGTACAACAGGAAACCAAAATCAGACGTAGCCCCTGCCTTCACAAACATAAGACACAGTGGGGGAGGGATGTTGATTAAATTATCACACCAGTCAGTGTATGCTACAGGAGAGAGTCTATTATAAGATGTCAAGGAAATCAAGGAGGGCTTCCCCGAGGAAGTGACTCAGGCTGAGATCCACAGAAAGCGTAGACATTCACCCAGCCAAGAAGGAAGAGTGTAAAGGCAGAGGGAATAGCGTATGCAAAGGCTCTGTGGTGGGAGGAAGCACAGGAAGCCTGAACAAAGCCTTGAGGGGAGCAAGAGAGTTTAGAGGAATCAGAGCACAGAGGCCATGTTTGGTTCTGCCCTGAAAATAGCACGGTGGGCATTATTGTGCCCATTTCACAGACGAGCAGACTGGGGCTCTGGGACTTCACAGAACTCCCTGACCAAAATCATGAGGGATAGGCAAAGCCTTGGTGCGTGAGATCATGCCAGTCTGCCAGGCAGGAAGCAGGACGGGGACCACATTGTACCACCCCTGAACTTTTTGTTTGCTCATTCATTCCCCAAAGCATCTTGGTGCTATAGGTGTTTTTGTCCCCACTTTCAGCTAAGGAAGTGGAAAATCAGAGAGGTTGAATCATTTTTTCCAAAATCACACAGCTGGTAAATGGTGGAGTTGGTCCTGCCTCCAAGCCTGGGCTTCTTGCCCTGTGGTTCTGACAGCTCTCTAAAGAGATGGAGGCGTGGCTAGGATGGAGAAGAAGTAAGACCTGATTGGAGGGGGAGGAAGAAGGGGGGCTCCTCTGCAGCAGGGAGGTTCCCCAGGCTCTCCACGGGGGCCTGTGTATGCCGCAGGCAGGCAGGCCTGGGAGCCCCTGTACCCCAGGCCCAGGGAAGGAGAAGACTGAGGTCTGGCTCAGGGCAGGGCGGTGGGAGCAAGCCCCAACTGGGAGTCCCAAAACCCGAGCCTCTCCCACCCTTCCTGAACCTTCCCATCAGTGAGCCTCAGGGGTGCTCATGGCCATCTGTGGGCTGGAAGCTACAGGCGCAAAACAATATGCTCTTCGCATGCAATTTGCACATTCCCGGTTTATATGTGAGAGTTGGAAATTCCTCTCCTCGCCCCACTGGGAACACCAGGCTACCTCCTGGCCCCTTCTTGTTCCAAAGCCCCGTTTCCTTCCCTCTAATCCAGATGCGCCAATGAATAGGCCTTCGGGCCGGATCTGGCTGCCAGATGTGTTTTGACCAGCCGGCACCTAAGTTTTTCCTTTAATTTTTATTAATCGACACATAATTCCTCATAAAAATCTGGATTCCAGGTTCCCCTTGAAAAACAGGAAGCTCTGCCAATGTCAAGCTGGCATTCTTCATGAATTTTTTGCTGAGTAGCCTCTGTCCCCTTTAGCCAAGGCCCGTGCCTTCCAGCTCTCAGCCCCACCACCTAGGAGTCCCCCCCGCCGGACCCCTACCCTGCTGTCCTGGCCCCAGCATTTGAATGCGTCCAGCCCTCCCCCATCACACTGTGAGGAAAAATGTGCTCAGCACCTCTGTGTAAAGCCCGAATCGGCCCAGGCAGGCTCTGAATGCTAGCTGACTTTCTGGAACTATCAGCTCTAGGCCCTGATGGGCCCATGGTGGGAGCCTGGTGTTTGCAGCCAGGAAGCGGAAGGAGGCGGTAGGTCTCTGGCTGCCTCCCCCCTTCCCCCCCCCCCCCCGCCGCCCTCCAGGTCTATATCACGGTGCTGGACGAGAACGACAATAGTCCCCGGTTTGACCTCACCTCCGACTCGGCCGTCAGCGTGCCTGAGGACTGCCCTGTGGGCCAGCAGGTGGCCACCGTCAAGGCCCGGGACCCCGACGCTGGCAGCAATGGGCAGGTGGGCACCAAGTGAAATAGTTGGATCTTCCCTGTCGGTAGGAGGTTCAGGTAGCCTCTCCGCTAGAGAAGGGGACAGTCAGGCTCCACCCAGCCCCAGGCAGCACAGCCCTGCCCTCACCCTAGTCCACGGTCAAGGAGAGGAGGCAGGGCTGTGCAGGCTGTTGGCCCTGCCTGGGTCAAGTTGAACATGGAGCCCGAAGGCCTGTCACAGCTCAGCCCCCCCACAGCAAGCTGAAAGCAGAGGGGGTTCATCCTTCCCACTGACTCCTTCATCACCTGATCCACCAACCACTTGGCATCTCGGCCCTGTGTGCCAGCCCTTCCCACGTGGCCCCAGGTCTCAGAGAGGACGTGCTCCTCCTCCCTCCTGCTTTGGGGGGCCTGTCCCACGGCGGGAAGTGCTCCCTCCACACACACTCCAGGTCTGGAGGCCCCAGAGCACAAGGACGGGTGATGGAGCGTATTATTCTTCCCGCTGCTTTAATCTGTCCTATGAATCAGGTGGTATGTTTGAGGAGGTTTCCACCATTTAAAAATGGCTTGCTCGGGGCACCTGGGGGGCTCAGTCGGTTAAACGGCCCACTCTTGATTTCGGCTCAGGTCATGACCTGAGGGTCATGAGATCAAGCCCCGCATTGGACTCTGCACCAAGCATGGAGCCTGCTTGAGACTCTGTCTTCCTCTCCCTCTGCCCCCACCCCAAAGCTGGCTTGCACATCTCTGGGGGGGGGGGGGGGGGGCGGCGGTGGCTTTGGGGTCAGAAGCACAGGCGTTCAAATCTTCGTTCTCTTGGTCATTTGCAAGCTGTGTGACCTTGGCCAACTGTTGCATGTTTCTGAGCCTCCTGTCTGCAAACTGAAAAAAGCACCTCCTGATTGTTGCTGTGAGGGCCAGATGGAACCCCAGCTCAGGCCCGCTTCTAGCGGGGCCTCCAGAAATCTCAGTACCTCCCCACCTCTGTCCCGGGAAACGTCCGTGCCGTGGGACTCACACGCACCCTTCTGGCCCCTAGGCCGGTAACGCTGACCTCTCTTCCCCCAGGAGCCTGCCACAGGTCCTGCGCTGCCTCAGTGCGCCTGCCGCACACATTTTGAAGGATGTGACCACCTCTGCATCAAATGTTCTCTTTTCAGATGCCCTTACCGAGCAGAGGGCCCGGGAGGGCAGGGGCGGGGCTCAGCCGGACCTGGCGGCCTGTCCTCCCCACTCTCTCCCGCCTCTCTCCCCCCCTCCCTGACAGGTGGTCTTCTTTCTGGCCTCTGGCAACATCGCTGGGGACTTTGATATCATCACCACCAACGACTCCATTGGCGAAGTGTTTGTGGCCAGGCCTCTGGACAGAGAAGAGCTGGACCACTACATCCTCAAGGTGAGAAACACCCCCCGCCCCGGGGTCTCTACTGACCATCCAGGAGAGAGCTTGGCACGGCCTGGCAGTCAGCTTCCCGTGTCACTGGTCCCCAGGGGACCCAGAGCAGGAAGCAGAGGTGTCCATCCCTGCCATGGGGGCCAGGGGAGAAGGCTTGGCAGAGCTGATAGAGTCCTGACTCTTCCACAAACGGTACTTTGGGCAAGCTGTTCACTCTCTCTGGGCCTTGGTTTCCCCTCTTGTGCAACGGGCAGAAGAACCCCTCCCTGGCCTGCCTCTGCCTCTGCCTCGGTGAGAAACAAGCACAGGTGTGAGGAGTCCCAAAGGCCACCATTATTGCTGAATTGCTGTGGCTGGCCTGTTCCCTGAGGACTCTGGGGACCCCAGGCCTGCATTTCTGCAGGGGTCTGAGCCTGGAGAGCATTTTCTGCTGCCCCACAGGCATCCAGGAATCATCCGGGCTCCCAGGGATAGGCTTGGGCTATGGGGGGGAACTCCAGTTCATTGCTGAAAAGATTATGGGAGGCTCTCTCTGTTTGCCAGGGTTCAGATAGGAGTACATGGAACAGAGGTATTTGAAACTAAAGGCAGGAGCCCGGGGTCTGGTCACAGGCCCAGGTCATGGTCAGGGGGCTGGCACAGCCCAGAATATAGTCAGGGGTGGGCACACCAGAATCAGATTCCCAAGGATGGCCCCAAGTCAGACAACAATTGGGCAAGGATTGTTTGCAGCGTGGGGCAGAAGGCAAAATCCTGGGGAGAGCCCAGGACTGGCAGGCCACACAGAGGCAGGGATGGACCCGCAAGTCTCTCTGCCCTCCTGGTCCTCCCCACTGGGCAGGCTGCCCTTTCAGACTTCATGTTCCTGATCCTTCCCCTACCTTTAGCCCTGAATCCGGCGTCCTCTCTCCTCTCCTTCCTCCAGGTTGTAGCATCCGACCGTGGCACCCCTCCGCGGAAGAAGGACCACATCCTGCAGGTGACCCTCCTGGATGTCAATGACAACCCTCCAGTGATCGAGAGCCCTTTTGGGTACAATGTCAGCGTGAACGAGGTGAGGGCAGCTCTTGCATCCGTATAGCTGGCTGTCCAAGTCGGACAGTGGGTGTGAGTGACCATGAAGCACCTGTTTAAGTGTCTGCCTGGCCTGCGAGGCTCTCAGACCTGGCAGGTGGGGGCGAGGCCCACTCATTCACAATTCCAGCCCTAATGCCAGATCCCGGAATGCCGTATCTTTCTGTGGGTGGTGTGAAGAGGAGACAAGAGGCGAGAGAAAGAAGGAAGTGGCCTTTCACCACCAATAGGGATTTATCCCAGGGAGAGCTGTTTTTAAACACAACAGCGCATTTACTATTCATTCTTAAGACTGAGCCACTAAGGGAAATTTTTGCCCCAGCATGACTGGGTATCCGCCCAGGCTGGGCATCCATGAAAGCAGGGTGGTAGAGGGGTTTAAAGGCCAGATCTCAAGCCAGGCTCCCAGGATTCGGACCCGGGCTCTGCCCCCGACAGGCTGTGTGACCTGCATACATGCTTTCTCCGAACCTCAGTTTTCTTGTCTGTGAAGGGGGATGGCATCATACCTGACTCATGGGGTTACAGGGAAGGGACAGTGAAGTCACACAGCCCTGCGTATAGTGGGCGCCCACAGAATGTTCGCCACCAGCATCTTCAGCCCCCTCCTCGGTGCTCCACGGTAGACAGAGCAAAGCTCTCTAAAGGCCCACCTGAAGCCCTTGGGCCCCCCCGGGGGGCTCTGAATCCAGAACGACCTCTTTCCTGTTCTCCCCGCAGAACGTGGGCGGGGGTACTGCTGTGGTCCAGGTGAGAGCCGCCGACCGTGACATCGGGGTCAACAGCCTCCTATCCTACTATATCACTGAGGGCAATGAGGACATGACCTTCCGCATGGACCGGGTCAGCGGCGAGATTGCCACACGGCCTGCCCCGCCCGACCGTGAGCGCCAGAGCTTCTACCATCTGGTGGTGACCGTAGAGGACGAAGGCACCCCCACCCTGTCCGTGAGTAATGGGGGCGGCCGCAGGGAGGGGAGGGTGCTTGAAGGACAGCTCTGCCTTCCCAGCGGGGCAGCGGGGGGACAAGATGGGTAGGAGTGGAATGCCCGAGGTGGGAGAATCTTTGACAACTCCTCTGTCGTGCCTTTAGGAGGTCCGCCTGTGAGTGTTTATGGAGGACCCGCGTGGGTGTTTAGGGAGGCCGTGTGGGCAGAGCTCATGTGCTTGTTGGACCGCGCCTGCAGCCACCCCGAGCTTCTGTTGAGCCCTCTTTGCGCAAACAGAGCCGTTCTGTGGGATGGTACGGAGTGAGCCTATACCGCAGGGCCTGGCCAGCCCCCACTCCTCTTGTCAAGCTGTGTGGCCACGAGACTGCATTCACCCACACCCCGTGCCAAATGGGAAAAGGTGCTCTCTGGCCTCTTCCCCTCTGTCACATTGCTGGGACACGCTGTCGCCACATGTCCAGGTTGAAAGGGACTGACGTTCTTGGTCCCGTCTGGGACAGAGCCCCCACCCAAGGCAATGTGCAAGGTTTGCGAGGTTGGAGAAGGAGGTGTGCCCCGCGGGACCAGATGGCGCGATGGTCTGGGGGCAATGGGCTGGGGTGGGAAATTCGGAGTCAGGAGTCCTGTGAGCTGGCTGCACAATCACTGGCAAGTCAGAACCTCTCGGAATGTGGATCTCGTCATCCGTAAAGGGAGATGCTATCTCCTCTCTGTGGTGTCTGGGGAATTGAATTAGCTCATGTCTGTGGAAGTGCTTGGCAAACCCTGAGGAGGAGGACCGTATCAGCTGTGTACGGGCTGCGGTAACGCTGCACTGCAAACCAAACCGAATGGAGAGGCGAACACAACCGTTGACTTAGCACCAACTCTGCAAACTGGCAGTTTAGACCTGGCTTAGCTGGGCTCCCACCTGTGTCGGGGTTGGGGGGGGGGCAGCTGTGTGTCATTGGATGGCTGGGCTTTTGGGGGTTGGCCACCTATCAGCTGGGGTGACAGGGCCACCTGTCTCCCCTCTTCCAGAAGGCCAGCCTATACTTATTTACGTGGAGCTAGAAAGGGTCCAGGAGAGACCATGGAAGCATGCAAGGCCTCTTGAGTCCAGGTTTGGAACTGGGCTGAGGTTACTTCTAGCACATTCTGTTGGCCAAAGCAAGTCACAAGGCCAGTCCAGGTTCAAGGTGTAGAGAAATACACTCTATATTTTGAAGGAACAAGCTGCAAATGAGTTGTAAAAAGCGTGGATACAAGGAGGTGTAAAGGATTGGGGACGTTTTTGTACTCTGTCCACCCTAGGAACCTGATCATGACTGAGGCCTCAGCCCTGTCCCTTTGCCCCTACGGGTGACTCTGTTAGACCCATCCCCTCTGGCTCAGCCCTGTGGACTGTGGGGCCAGAGCAGGCCTGGGCTGGGCTCTTTATCTGGAGTGTCTCTGGGGAGGTTGGTGGAATTTGACCAATCCCAGGAAACCACATTCGGAGATGCTGAGGTTATAGGACTGGCTCTGGGCACACCCTGGGCATCCTCAGCTCCAGAGCTGCCAATGTCCCCACTAATCACTTTAGCCATCCCCACCCAGTGAGCCAAAGAGAGGCATGTTTACAGGACACATAGAACTGCCTGAGGGGCTAGGAATATCAGTTAACTGTGGCGACATGGAAGGACTCCATTTTGACAACCCCCACCCCCAACTGCACCTGGCTTCGGGGCAAGTCATCATCCTGGTCATCTTGCCAATGGCCTTTAGAGACGTGTTTGGCTACAAGTGACAGAAACTTTATAGTCATCCATAAATCAGAATGCATTGTATTCACATAACAAAAATTCTGGAGAGAATTACAGGTGTTGCTATTGTGCTCAGTGATGTCAGAGCTAATGCCTCTTGACCTTTCCCCCGTGGTTACATGATGGCTGCTAGAGCACCAGCCATCATGTCAGCATTCAAGACAGGAAATGACAAGAAGACAAAGCTATGCAAGCCATTTCTGCCCCTTTATCAAGAAAGCAAAAGTTTTTCCAGAACTATTTTCCAGAGTTCTGCTTATGTCTGTAGCCAGAAAAGATTCATATGGGCACCTCACTGCAAAGGAGATTGGAAAAAAAAATGACAGGATTGTTAGGACTGGCTTATTACCTGGAAGCCAGATATATCACTCAAACAAAAGCAGAGCTTGTTAGGGCAGGTCAGAGAATAGATCTGGGGTGGGAAACTGAGAGCACGTGCCCCTCCTCCTCCTGACCTAGGCCAGCAAACACACCAGTCCCACCCCTGCTCCCCCTTTCCCCGCTCCCCACAGTCCTAGAGTTTCCTGGGGAGGCAGTCAGTGAGACCCTTGACACTCTGAGACCCTGAGTTTTAGAGGTGGCATCTGGCTTCCTTTTGATCCTCAGAAGAAAGGACAATTGGGGAAATGTGAAATCACCCCAGCCACATTTAACCACCAAGAACGGGTGGGCCCCTACCCAAGCAGTTCCTGCAGAACTTGGGACTGGTCCCCGTGGCCAGAAAGTTTCCATCTGTTGACAGACACCCTGACCCCACCCCCACCCCCAGAGACCCAACCTAGCCCAGTGGAGACCCATGAGCACTGCCTCCTCACACATGGGTCCTTGACATTCTGACCCCACCTCGAAGCGGATCTCAGGCTTTCCAGCTCCCTGCTAAGACTATGAGAAGTGGGGTGGTGAGAGGTATAATCTCCCTTTCTCTACATTCCTCATTCCGGCCATCACCAGCTCGGGCCCTGGAAAGTACCTTCTAGATGACTTGGATCAGGCATGGGGTTCCCTGAGGCCATCACCGAGGAAATGTGTATATGGCTCCTGGGCTGTAACACCGTGATACAGACAAACAGCATCATGGACCAGCTGGGAAAAGATTTACAGGAGACATTTTTTAGGTCAAAAGGCATCTATCCTTTCAACTTTTTTTTTCCTGCTGCTTCAGGTTGAGGAAAGATCCCTGGTACTTGACTTCTGTAAGGGACACGCGACGGTGAAGAATTGCAGTGACAACAGGAGCATAGTTGAGAACTGAGCACTAGAGGATATTTGTTCGTTCATTCATTCGTTCGTTCGTTCAGGCAGCCAGTCAGTGTTCCCTGAATGCCCACTATGTGCCAGGCCCCAGGGATACTGGGAGGAAACAGTGTTGGTCCCTGCCATAGTAAAATGCAGCCGAGTAAGGAAGGCACTGAGACTCTCCAAGCACAGGAGCCAAGGTGCAGATGGGCCTGCATTGAGGAGCACTAACAAGGGCTTGGGGAAGGCTTCTTGGAGGAGGTGACAGCTGGGCTGTCTTGTCGCTCAGTCATTGTTAGCACAACAAAGCACACCCTGGACCTGGAGATCCACCTGAACAAAGGCCTAAGATCAAGCAAAGACCAGGGGTGGGTTTGAGGAGCTGCTCGCAGTTCAGGCCCGTTGCAGGGTTCAGAGCCAAGAGTGTGGCTCTCTATCTATATATCCTTCCGGTGACATTGTCTCTGGGGTCTGCCCTAAGGGCTGATCACACTACTTTCTCGCGTGCCCCCTCGACTTCTTCCCTGTACAGCTGAGCCAGGGTGAGGCACAGGGCACAAGCCGCAAGCAAGGGCCCTGCAGCCAGCGCCCAGCCATGATTGGCATCTGCCTCCAAGGAGCACTGGACCCCTGAAGATTTGCTTCCAGTGATCAGACTGCCCCTCTAGCTGGTGAACCCCCAGGGTCAAGCACGAAACGGAGGGCCAAGCCAGAGGTGACCAGAGGAGGTCCCTTCCCTGCTGTTGGGCAGATTTCACTGGTTGGGTATTCGAGGATAGGGTTGTTTTAAGCCCTCTTGCACCAGCCAGAGCCCTGAGCAGCATCCCAAGGTTCCAAGAACGGTCACCATGGTCTTATGGGTGGATGCCACCCTGCATGTATCCGTCCAGAGGTGGTGCCCGGCAGACCCACACACCGACCCGTTGTTTCCACCTACAATTATCTGCCTGGTCCAAGCCAGCCCTCACTGGCACAGGACCAGCCTCACAGGGGCAAGTAAGAGTCCTTCCTTTCCTCTTTCCTCTTTCCTCCTTTCATTCAACACCAAATACGTGCCCAGCCTGTACTAGAGGCTCGGAAGTCAGACCTGAGTTGGGTACAGTCCTGTCCTCACGGAGCTCCCAAACTGGAGGGGAGATGGACACGTAACAGAGAGTGACCACTCTCTGATGTGATAAAGTGCCAGGAACTTCCTGGAGCCGGGAACCAGGGAAGGTTTTCTGGAAAAGACATCATTTGCCTCTGTGACTTACGGAGTGAAGCTCTCTTAGCAGGGGGCCTGGGATTCAGCCACCAAGAGAAATCTTGTATCTGAGCCCTCTTATCTCTTCGTTTCACCCTGGCCCCCCTCCCCCCGAATTTCCTGAGAACTGTACATTCCTGTCCCACCCAGCTCTTAGCCCTGTATCACCCAGAGCTAAGAACAGCTGTGCAGCAAGGGGCATCCGGACCAACCCAGGCCTGTCACACAATGGTGTGCCACCCAGCCAGGGGAAATCATTGTACAGCCTCTGCCCTCTGGCTAGCTCCAGGCCACAGGCAAGGGAGGCCCGGCTGGGGGGAGGGGGGGTCTAAGTGGCCGTCCGGGAGGCCCCTTCAAGAGGAAGGGCCGGGCCAGGGGAGGAAGGACGGAAGGCAACTGGGAGGTCAGGAGCTGAGCCCCAGCCACAGAGGCACCTTGGCAGGAGGATGGAGAGAGGGAGGGCCTGACGGGGGCGGGGGGTCTCCCTGCCACGCGAATCGCAGCCAGCAGGTTAGACAATCCCAGCCAACCAGCTCTGGCATCTCAGGCTGGTGGGGACCTGCAGAAATCACCTGTCCAGGGAGAAGGACAGAGGTCACCCACTGCCCACTTGCTCGTCCAGGAGTTGCCAGCGGAGAAAGTCTGCGAGCTGGGGACATTGCTCTTGGCAGCTGACCTCCTATCTTTAGGGCCAAGAGCTCTTCTGTGTATTAAACTTGGACCCTGCTGTTGTTG